TGTGGGTGGCTCACTACTGGGTTGGGTAGTGGGTTGTCGGTGGAGGAGTTGGGTTTGGCTGGGGACTTGGGTTTGTTGGTGGAGAGAAAGATGATGGAATTGCTGGGTTTGCCGGTGGCTGTCGCTAAAAGTGGGATGGTGAAGCTATTGAAGGTGGCTGGCTTGGTAGTCGACTATCGATGTGGCTTATTGGAAGGGTTGGCGCTGTTGGGCAGTAGGGTGGTGGCTGGTGGTTGTTGGTCTGGTCTAGTGGCAGATTATCGCTGGTGGTGGCATGTGGCTGAGGTGTCATTGGGGCTGGTCTGGTGGTAGGGTGTGGCTAGGGTGTCGCTGGGGTTGGTTTGGTTTGGTTGCCATCATTGGGTGCTGTCTCTGGTGGCGTGGAGTGGTGGCTGCAGGTTGTGGGAACGTGATGAAGGGTAGGGGTAGGGTTAGGGTTAGGGTTAGAGCTTCATATATATAGTCAAACAATAATATAAAATGCCCTGAATATCCCTCTAGTCTAGGCAAGACATAAAAGTCATAGTAAGGATAAAAAAAGGAAAACCCTAATAAATTAGACTATAAATCCAACACAATGAACCGTCTAGGCCCCTCGAGCAATCTTCAAGGCTTCATACCCAAGACTCTTGCAAAACACATAATGTGAGTTTTGCAAATTACAAAACTAGATATTCTCCAATGAGTGAAGTTGAATGGGAAGAATCAAGATGGTTTGATGAGTTTCCTTTCCTCTATTTTTTCTTCATTTTTTGGGAAATTTAGGTCTACTCGACTTGCCTTTCGACTCAGAGGACTCAACTCCTCTGTGAACAAACACCAATTTTAAAACCCACCACAATAATCTTTTCTCATCAAAAAACCCAAAAACCTAACCAAAATACCATGAATAGCCCAAAACCCCCGTCATGTAGATTGATGTAATGAATATGCCAATTAATTGATTAACACTTAATATTCCACAACAATCCCAACCAAGACAAACTCACTAAAACCATTTTTAATGATTGAAAGATAAAACAATCAAACCATCAAACACATGGTGCGCATGTATGCATTAATTACAAGTGTATAAGCAAATTAAAAGCAATAAGAGACAAAGCAATTGTAGATGTGGAAACCCAACATGAAAAAATCATGGGGAAACACTCGGGGTTCACTAAAATCTAATCCATTATCCGGAGGTTAATTTACAACTATTCGAGTCTTATATCTCATCCAATAACATTGTTAGATTCTTCTTTGAATAGATCTCTCAACTGAAAGTCTCTCTTCAATGTGATGGATAGCTTCACTTGAACGTCTCCATCGTAATAAATTATTTAGACCTCGAGCAAATTTCTCTGCCAAGATCCTCATAAATCAGAATGCACACTCTTCAAAGTGAGTTTTGGTGAACCTCCAAATAGGGTTTTCTTTTTTAATGTGTGAAGTTTGATTAGTTTCAAGACGGAAGCCCTAGATGACTTATCCTATTTATAGGCTCGGAATTAGGTCAAGCTTGGAGGCCAAGTAAACCAAAATTTGTGAATGACCGCTCAAGCAGTGGAAGAACAGTGAGGGGGTGGTCGTCATTGGAATGAAAAAAATCCAACCAATCTGGCAGAGCAGGGATCGCTATAGTTACCTCTAGACTGCTCAAGCTATCTTAAGATTGCTCGAACGGCTTGAGATTGACTCAGAGGGCAGTCTCTATTGCCCAACTTAATAGTCTTTCCCGATTTTATCTTTCAGTGTTCAAAGACTACTCTAGCTGAAGACAAGCAAGCAAAAAGTGGTCCCTATAGGTTGTAAAGTCGAAAATTAAGCAAAAATTTGTCCTCTTGAGAACTAAAGAGTATTGCTCAAGTAGGGTTTGATAAATGACTAAAACTATCATTTCAAAACATATTTAAAGTTTAAAAAATATTTTTAATAAAAACACTAGGAGTCATTTTCGACTAAATTTCCAATTCCATTTTATTTACCTTGATCATCGTAAGTCTAAAATTAAATCAAGAGATCTGGGCCTCTAAGATCATTATCTTTGTCCTAAGCTTGAAGGTGCTTCGGAGTGGCCTTGATATGATATTGTACCATAATCTCCTTCCTTTCCCTTATCATTTCCAGATCTCGATATTTGAAGTTTGATGATTATGGAATTTTGTTGAGAATGCATAAGAATTCACGAAATTAGCAAATTACAAACATGATCCTAACAACCTATGTCACTTAATCTACATCTATACTATAAATAAAAAGTTCTTACCATGGAAAACTTGTGTTTTTCTCTTTTATCCTTAACTAATTCCTTAATACCATTTTTATCCTTAGATATTGTCAATCTTAAAATTATAGGACTATTTTTACTGCACTTAATGCACCTTTAAAAAACAATAGATTATTTCTCTGTCGTTAGTGCAACCTGCAAAAAAATCTAATTGATCACCATTCCTTGCGCCTCTTCGTTTCCATCACAATCATTGCCCTTCTGTATCTAATTCAACTTTTCAATTAACTCTACAACTATTGCAACTATTGATTCACTGAATTAACTTTTACGACTTTAGATCTATTGTAACTTGTGTAATTTTTATACTCGATATTTAATCTCCATTGAATATATTTACTATAGTATACTATTATTAATTGGAATTGAATCGTTGCAAAAACCAGATGGTTTATCATTCCAAACACCTCTCAATCAATGTTATGTAACCATAATAAATAATACTTCTTATTCACTTTTTGTCTCTATCTCTTTCCTTTTCACTTCATAACTCTTCTATGGGATCATAACAACATCCTTACTGGTCTAAAGCCTATAAATACTAAAGCCTATATATGATTAATCTTTTCAATACTAAAGCCCATATAGTCATTAATATTACTAATCAAGATAGAAAAAAGATTATAGATGATGGTTCCCCAAAACATATTGAAAAAGTGAGTTTTTTTCAATGGAACAGGGTTGTGTTAAGCTTTGCAATCATACTGAAATCCAACTAATTTCTTGGATTCATTTCCAGTCTTTTGGGCAAGATTTATGCTTTATTTTCTCCACAAAAAGATTTGTGGGGGTGAAATTGTTAATAGATCATATGTCAACAGGACGTAATAGGTTGTGACTACTTTCTTGGGTGAGTGTTTTCTTCACCCATTGTGGACTTATAATACTCGGGCTGTAGCTGTGATGCCAGTTTTTTTGGTAAGTGTTGTGATGAAAATTATTTATGACGCAATTGTGTTCCTAGGCTGCAACCATAGAACCAGAAAAACTATTTATAATCAAACAAATCTATATATACTTACAAATAGCAATAAGTCAAGTGAGGCTAAGATTGTGGTCTCTCATTAGGTCACCTACTTTGAGAGAAGGCTTCATTTGATGCTTGATCAAGACTATGACAGAATGAATGAGGGAGACTTGGATGACACAAAGACCAAATGTGAAATGCGGTTAGGATAATACTATGGTATCCAAAGTTTATTTTTTGGTATATTATAATACAAAAATAATTTCTGCCTTATATCCTTTTTAAAAAAAAAAAAACTATTTATCGTCTTTGATCATGAAACTTGTAAAATAAAGATATTAAATAATGAATATTTTCACATGACATATTGTGAAAACATAAAAAAAAGGAAAATATTACACCGAAAAGTTGTTACTTGTTACCATATGCTGTTGACATAAACTACTCAGTTGTCATAACATGCACTTTGGCGGGCAATACCCTCGCAATTGTTCATAATTTATGTGTTGTGTTAGACCCATTGAATGAGTTGTAAAATTTATGTAGAGTTTAGTTTTATTTTACTTTTTGTGTAAGTTTTTGTTAATAAGGGATAATTTTTTGTCAAATTGATGGGTTTATTGAGTTGTTTAAGGTTTGAACTTTGGTAGTAATGAAATGAATTATTTAGGGCGTTTATTGTTGGTGGGATTGTGAATTGGAATGAGTATGGATGGTTAATTACTATTCATGGATTTATTAAGGGCTTATTTTTAACATAAACACACAAAAAAAATTTGGATCATTTGTAATTTCATATTTATTTCATTTATTTTATGTATTGAGTTGCCATAATTCAAAATTTAACTTTGACGTTAGTCGAATTTAACTCTTTAATTTGGTACTCCCATGGCAATACATGATGACATTTTTTTCGGTGAAGTATAAATATTATTTCCAAAAAAGAAGATACATAATATAGCTCAAATCACATGGTATGGATAACAATTTTGTAGTTTATAGCACAAAAACACTTAGTCTACCAATAAAATAAAACTCACGGTTCATGAGACGACTACTTGATGGCTAACACGTCATGACTTTTTAGCTATTGCATAGCAATGAATTTTGATTGCTAACTTAGTTATGAAGAGTTGAAGTTTTCTTTGCATATTTACCCGTTTGTGAATATTGTTTTTGGGTAAGCCTGTTCGTGAATGTTGTTTAAAAAGTAATTATAAAAATTATTTTTTTGAAAGGTATAATTATAACTATGCTTGAATAAGGTAGAAAATTGATACGCATATATAGTCTAATTTGCAAATAAAATAAAATACTAGCATTACCACGCAAATGGTGCATATACAACGCATGTGTGTATTAGTTAGTCTAGTATAAAAATCATTAAATGTTTCATTCTCTTGCATCCTCAAAGTCTTGAAATTAAGAGATGTTCCTTTGTAGACAAGATATCTTTACTAAGGGTGTTCCTTCGTGGAAAACTTCTAAAGATGTCCCATATGTCTTTGGAAGCCTCTCAAGTGGAGATCCTCTAGAACTCGTTTGGTGTCACAATATTGAATATCGCATTTAAGCTTTTCAAGTTCCACCCAGCAGACTTGTACTCATTTTTTAGACCAAGTCTTTAGGGGTTTTGGTCCGATAACCGAATAACTACATTCGATAGTAGTGACGGTAAGGGGGCTCCAATCTTTTGACACTAACAACAACACTCGTTCGTCTATTGACTTTAGAAAATCCCTTATTGAAGCTTTTCAGTATGTGTAATTAGACCCATCGAACAATGGTGGCCTCGAAACCGAATTTTCCTCTTTCTGAGAATCCATTGATAATCAACCGGTTGTTGTTATGAATCTCAATCAACAAAAATTAGGTTAAATAAGCAAATATGCAATGAATACTTGCAATGTGCCTAAATACAATTCTCAGGACAGCCATGCTTTGATACCAATTGGGAGGGAAGATTCGATATGTATATTCCCTCTTGATTATACACGTAAAATTACTAAACACAACCTAGAGGGGAGTGAATAAAGGCTCGAATAATCACCAATTTAAACCTAGATCACTACAATTACCAATTATTAAGTCAATTAGCCAATTAAGAACTTGAACCTCTTTTATCAACAAACCTAACAACTCGTCATGTGAATTTGATATAATGACTTGTCAATTGATTAATCAATCACCAAATTCACCACAACAATGATCCCACCACCAAGCCAACAATTCACAAAACCCAAATTGATGACTAACTTAAATAAATCAATTAAAGTGGCAATTCATCAAACATTGTGTGTGCAATTGCAAGTGTGCGTTTGTGTGTGTGAAATTAAAACAATTAACAAGAACATCCACAACATAAGCATTTCTTTGATGTAGAAATCCTTTTTAGGAAAAACCGCGGAACTAATCCTAGTTTACCTAGAGCCTAATCTACTAAACTCAAAGTCAATTTGCAAGTACTTGAGTCTTATACCTCAATCAATTTTCATGGTTGGATGTTTCTTTCTGTTGTAAATCTCTACTCCAGAGTCCCACCGAAATTATGAGTAGCTTCACTTGGACATGCTCACTGCAAGGAATTGTTTAGGCCTCTCGAGCAATCTTTAAGGCTTCATACCCAACAGTCTCGGAATGCACACACCAATGTGAAGTCGGCACAAGCAGATGGTAGTCTTTTCCTACCTAATGGAAAAAAGCAGTTTTGTTCTTTATTACATCAAGACCAACTATTTTACTTGTTTTTGTTAATTGTAATTTGGGTGGACGGGCCCATTCTATGAATCACTTATTGATATGCTTCATATTGGCCCCCCATTATTGGTTGTTGTGTCACTCAGAGTGTCAATGGCAAGGTCTGGATTGCAAGGGTTGAGGGGGCTAAGGAGAAGTCGGCACAAGGGGCTTGTGTCCATACCCATGCAAGAAGATGACATGGATCCTAATATATTTTCTCCTGTTCTTCCTCTGACCTTCATCTCTTTGCTTACATTTGTGCATATAGTTCATGCTATGAACTCAGTCCTTAATTTTTTTACTATGCTGGCAGGAAGAAAAGAGAAAAATGGTTGCATCTGCTTTTGGAGAAGATCACAGCGGGGGTTCAGCGACTCGCCTCACAGTGGAAGATCTCAAATATCTATTTATGGTCTAAAACAGGTACCCCTCCTCGTCTACAATTGGGTTACTCGAGCCTTATGTAAATTTGTGATAGTGGAGGAAATTTTGTTTACACCTCCAGATTAAGAATGGAATGGCTTAGCTATACCATGACTAATGGGCTCACTTATTCCCCATTTTTGGCCATGAATGCATTTGTTACAATAAATGCAGAGCTTCAAGGCAAATACACCTGTAAATATTCTTCTAATGTATAATTTTGTGCAGTTCAAGTATGGTCTTTTTTTTTTTTTTTAACTTCCACACGCTCTCACCATCATCATTTCATGAGATGCGAGCAATTGGTCCAATGGGCATTCCTCCTAGAGTGAATGTGACTTGTTCGTATTATCGCAAGTAGTTTATCCAAAAGTGGATTTATGTTATCAGATTAATGGGCTGCTGATTTTGTCCATAAATTGCTACACCATTTCAAATCCAGGCTGCCGATGACAGTTGTCTGAAAACATGTTTTAACAGATACCATTGCATCTTCTGGGGTGATGATGCAGATTTGGTGCTGATTCTTTTGGAACACTTTGTGAGCCTGGGAAAAAAGTTTATAAATGAATAGTTGATTAGGTGGTGGCTTGAGAAGATGGTCGATGAGGCAGCTCGTTTGCTTTGCTTGAACAATATTCAAACCCTCAAATATATAGAGTGATCAATGACTTTACGTCTATGCATAAGGCATTAAGCATCTCAAGGCCAATGGAGACTAGGATGCTGGTTCCCAATCATAGTTGGGTGGCTGATGCATTTTTGGCTCATGCTATTAAAGATCTGTGGGATGAGCCTGAGCCGCATCCTTTAACTGGCTAGGATATTGTGGAAGTCAAGATCCCGACAGTGTAAAAGGTCGAGGTTCAAAATTTCACCAGATGTGAGGCGTGTACATTATAGTGAAAGATTAGGTTCTGATAGGAAATTGATCCTCACAAGTTGCGAAAGTGATTTTCATGCATCTTTCCATTAGGAGTCGATCAGACCTAGGGCTGTCGGTGGGTTGGGTCGTGTTAGTGTCAAAACTCGTTCAATCCCTATCATATTAATTTATAGGCATGTATAGTTGGATTTGTGTCATATTAAGTTCGTGCTATATATAGATCGTGTTTAATTTGTTTGTATTGTGTTTAATTGAGTTTGTATTGACCATTTTATTTGGTGAGTTTAACAGTTCACATGTTTACAATTCAAATTCGCCAACACTAAACTCAATATTGTTCGCTCCATATTGATTTCGTGTTGAGTTCGCGTGTCTAGAATACTAGACTCTTTATTTTATTTGAAAAGCAAAAAAGTAGTTTGAACCGTTGCTAAAATTGGATCATGCGTAACCAGAAATGCAATGCTGCCATATCTTATCCTAAATTTTTTCATCCCAGATGTATTTAACATCACACATTTGGTTGTGGAGCTAAAACAATCAGTCTTTTCGTCTAACCAGCAATGTATGACGTGCTTGTACATAAACAAATTTAAATAATATTTTTTATAAAATATGTGAATTATGTGTAATTTTTTCATCACAAAATTATGTGTAATTAAATTAAATAATCAATTAAATGGTAAATAATTAGTTTGTACTTTAATTAAATAATAAATATAAATTATTAATTTATTTTGAGTTTTTAAATATCTAATATGTCATTTAGTTAGGTGTCTCTTTAACCCCTTTAGACATTTGTATATCTAATTATATTATATAATTATTTATTTTTATTTATTTTTTTAAATAAATTGATTAGATCGTTTACAATATAATTATAATATTGCATGCCAAAAAATAAAATATAACATATATTTGATCGTATAATTTAATATAGTTATTATGTGTGTACAATTATTTAACATGTATAAGACTTTATTTCTTCGTATAGATAAATTGTGTGTAATTGTATTACCAATAAATGAGTTTAAAAAAATTTAGAACTCTTTGCAAAAATAGCTCAAAAGAATTTAGAACTCTTTATAAAAAGAGTTCAAAATAAGTTAAAAGTCAAATATGAGTAAAAAATTAAAATTAAATAAAAATATATGGGTGGAGATAATTGACTTTATAATAATAATTAGGGATAAAATAAAAAATTAAATTTTTTTTTTTTGCAGATACTGACATTTATAAGTAATAATAATATAGATGAAGTGGATTTGAGATACATGATTTGTTGGGCAGCATGACATTTCTACAAGCTTAGCAGAGCATATATTAATAACGATGCAATGTGCATAGGCAATTTTTTTTTGTAGGACTTCACTACTTTACCCAAAACAAAAAAAAAAAAACAGTTGTTTCCTCTTTAATCTCCGTGCTAATAGAGAAGCAACACTCATTAACCCTTCAACTATCCTCTTCTCTAAACCCCTACTTCTTTTCTTCGGGCTCATGCTTCCAACCTACTTGGGCATAGCCGCATAGATGACATTGATGTATTCATGTCATTTGATCTATTTAAGACTATCTCATGTTCAGGTTTCCTTCATCTCTCTCTAACTCCACCACATCAACCGGGCCATGCGTCTCTCTACTAGCTACTTGGTCCTTTCCAAATATAATGTACAAATTCTCATAAAAAGGGGAAATATTTGTCTCTAAACTTTTTTGCTCCCTTGTGGCTCTACAATTTAAACAAATACAATATTCAAAAATATGTCAAACACATACAATATTCAAAAATATGTCAAACACAAGAAACAATTATCCATTACATCAATCTAGGAACAAGCAGATTGGGATGATAAGTAAACAAAAATAGCAGATTTATGTTAAACTTCACAGAGAGCATCAAAATCAATGAAGCAAAATCATCAATATAACATATTTTCAGAGCAGGTAGACCTCACAACTGCACCAATAGCAAATTTGATTATGGAAAATGCTACTTTTCTACCTCAGGCATTTGTAAACTTAAACAAAGTTAACACACTAGTTAGGCATTTATTAACACACTTTCATTTGTTAACTTTTCTATCTCAAGAATTTTGCCACGTCTGCAAAGAACGTTGGTTCCTCAACATGTGGAGATTAGGTATTCTTACTTTGTTAAAAAATGCAGGAACTGGTTGACTTATCACATCAATCAAAACCACTTTTTTTAGTCTAAACGAAGACGTCTATATATGATGAATCAAGTGTTCGCATTGCCAAGCATTATTGCTGTTATTTGTGGGCTTGCTTCTCAAACACAACTTTCCCTATATCATAGAGCTTTGACAGATTATTCTTTCACCTTTCTTCAAGCAATAGAAATATTACGCAGGTCTTCCAAATGTTCCAAGTACTTAACTTTATATCAAATCTTGAATAACAAAAAACAAAATATTAACTTGCGAGATAGAAAAAAAAAAGACATTTATCCGCAAGAGTAATTCTGCTCAAATTAACAATTACCTTTGCAAATTTACTAATACTCTTAGCTTCTTCCAATGATTCAGCCATGGAAGGATCATATTTATTAAATCGCATATCGAAAGACGTATCGTTTTTCAAAAATAGTATATCGTATCGTGTATCTTGTTTTGTAAGATACACACAATTTTAAATAATCATTAATATAATATATATATACCTTTGTAAAAAAGTCATAAACTTATAATAACATATCATTTTATTAATATTTCACCAACTATTCAAATTTATAACATAGTTCAGTAATATCAAAATGCAAAAACCACTAATTCAAACTTCTAACATCAACTACTTGAACAACATTAATATTAATCAGAAATTTTAAATTCAATTGAACAACATTAAGAGTAAACTTTATTTATTTTTTAAATCATAACCACTGAAACGACGTTATTTCACTGGCTAGTAATTTAAAAATAAGTTCTGCGGTGAAAAAAAAAAACCACAATCTTCATGTATTGTATGTATCGGACGTATTGTATTGTATCGTGTATCGTACGATACGGTGTAAAAACGGTACAGAGATATGATATGTATTATTTTTTGGGTATATCGTGATGTATCGTACAATACGTATCGTGTATCATATAATACTAATAACTATGAGAAGGATATCACAAATCATAGATGAGATCAGAATATAAAGAAAACAAAAAGAAAAAAAAATGGTAGTAGAGGAAAGAAACTACACAGCTGGATGAATCTACCAACCACTAGTGGACGCAAGGGGTTCCTATATATATATATATATATATATATATTAGAAAGAAGTAAAGTGATGCCAAAATTTTCTTCTCCCGACTTATTTACATATTTAATTGAAATAGTAATGATTGATTACCTTATGTACTTGCGTTTCTTTTCTTTCTCTATCGCGAGCCGTGTAAAAGACACGACCCACAAATTGAAACATATCCAAATTTACCTCGTAATTATTTGGAATTAGCTCCATTTCCTACTCCTCTTTCATCGTCGTTGGTCCTTTTTACATCAAATTCCTGGCCGCCTCTGGTTTGGTGGGTCGGTCGCCCTGTAGCCAGTGACTAGCTCTGCTATGGAGTTAGGTGTATAACATCATGTCGAGACTCTCTTTCGAAAGTGAGATCACCGCCGACTTTAAGAAGAGGAAAATATTACTCCTAAATGCAGGCGTGATCTTATATACGATACCACCAGACGTACCTTGGTATTTCCATCCGCCCTAAAAAAAGACACCGGATAGCTTGTGGATCAAGTTTGTGATTAGGCTACGGCTGGATAGCAAGCATATCCAAAGGTGCATAACAACTTGTAATCAGGTGTCTTGTGAAATAAAAACTCCCATGGTTAAACCATTTGTGTCATTGTAGATGGCACTCGATTGATATAAAGGACAATAGCATTGATTCTAAGCCTCTCTTCTATGGGGAGCTAGGTCAGAGCTAACATGAGAATCAGGAGAGAAAAGATTTTGAGATGAAGCTGAAGGAGAAAAATGATTGGGGCCTTTTTTTAGGCTGTCGTCGCGTGGAATGAGAATCACAAATACCACGTTAGATTTGATAATGACTAATCCTATAATTTGTGGGATTAGCTATTTCTTAAGAATAAGAATGAATTTTAATTTCTACCAACCAAAAATAAGAATAAACATTACTAATGAATGAATATTCCATTCCTAAGGCTCAATACCTCATACCAAACACAACGTTAGTCCTTCTACCTTGTCATATGTTCTTAAATGCTAGTGTTCTCATGACATATTCACAGCTCTTGAACGTCGAATTAACTCCCTATCTTGGTTTCATGTTATGCAAATGAAGTATGATTTCCAAAATCTTAAAAAGGAAGCATTGACCATGAAAGAAATTTAGTTACTTGTCATTGATCTTTGTGACTATTTTTGCCACAGTTGAAAATAAAGATACTGTTCTCTTCACTGGTCTCCCACGTGAGTATAGTTAGGTGAAGACTTAAGTTTTTCCATTGAGAAATATAAATATACTAGTTCCGTGATCACCAAGGCTGGGCCCAATGACTAGTCTAAAAACTCACCCAGGGTTTCACACGTCCTTGTTGTCCAGCATATATTACAAGTTCCATGGGAGAGGTCATGGTCTACCTGGAAATTATGGTGATGGTTGGAATCAATCTCATCCTTCTTGTTCCTGCCACATCTGCTAGATTTGTGGCAAACCGAATCACACTGCTTGCAATGTTTGCATCAACTAAACCGAATCACCTAACATATTGTATGTTCGAAAGTTTGCGCATGACAACTGATGGTGTTCTTAACACAATTGAGCAACGTTGTGGATTTAAAGTGCTTTAAATGGTGGGATTTGGATCAATTTGAGCTCCAAGGCTCTTGAGAATAGGATTTTCTAAATAATTGGGGGGGGGGGGGGGTCACACAGAATGTTTATAGTGGTTCACCAAGTCGGGAGCTTGGCTAATCCACTCTCAAGAGAGTTTCTTGCTTCTGAATATATTAATCAATTGCATGTGGTTTACAAAGAGTACTTTGCTAGGCTACAATGGCTATATCCTTTCTCGAGGGCTTTACCTCTTATTTATAGATATTCCTAGGGTTTGCTTTTCCTCTTATTTATAGATATTCCTAGGCTTTGCCTGTTATTTATAGATATTTTTGGGGCTAGATCCTCGCCCCTTAGCTGTAACAGTTCCCACTTAT